AAAAAAAAAAACCCAAAAACACCTTCTTGCCACTTTACTTTCATTTCCTTCAGCATTTTATTTATACACATGATGTTATTCTTGAAAAACAGAAAGGGAACCCAAAGGGAAAAACAGAGACCTGCAAGGTTAGAGCCCTATATTCAGCTGGGCCAGTGGCATGAGATCAGGAGCTGACGGGATTGTGAAAACAAAACAGTGGGGGACAGGAGACAAATTTTCCACAGCCCCATCCAGCTCCATCCTGCCCAGCGCCGCGAACAGGAAGGGGCACTGGCTCTGCAGTCACAAGTGCACGTGTATGCAGCCTGATGGGGGACACGAGAAAACAAGGAGATGGAAAGCAGAGTCAGAAAAGGGAAAACGCAACTTCAGATCGGGCAGAAAGAGGGAAGGGCCAGGCTTGGAACTGCCGGTTCTGGGGAGTCTCTGCAGCCACGGGAAACACAGGCACCGCCTGGAGGAGGGAGAGCAGCTGTTCCCTCCACCAGGGGCCCTGCCAGCGGGCCACCCCACTGTCACCCTCTGAGGCCATGCAGCCTCGAGTCAGACGCTTCTTGGAACAGAGGGTCTTGTTCATGCCCTCATCCTTGTCCTGGCTAGGGCCACTGCTAGCTCTCACTCCACTTGTGACAGCTAGAAGAGACCACATAAACCCTTCCCTGGGGATTGCTGCCACCGTGTGGCAGAAGTTTCCTGATTTCAGGAGCTGGTTTCCCGCCGCCCAAGCAGGGACAGAAGCTGTGGGCACACAGCTCCACTCAAGGAGTCTGGGTAACAGCCACTAAGTGACAGGCAAACGTGAGGGCAACTCTCAGGCCTTGGTGCCTTCTGGCCGATCCCAGACGATGTCACAGTTTCCCTCCAGGCACTGGAAGGAGAGAGGCGGCAACCCAGCACCTCTGGGCTCCCTCCAGTGGCAGCCAAGGCAAACAGATGCTCTGCCTCCGGCCAGAAGCCGATTTGCTTCCTCGACAGTTGATGTTCATGTGCTTCTCTGAAAACCTAAACAGAATCTCCGATGTTTCTTGGAAGCACCACAATCACACTTCACTAACCATAGCGCACAGCACACAGCACTCAACGGCCAGACAGTTGGGCACCCGCCAGGCTGAGTGAATGAGGAGGAAGAGGGCAGGACCCCCCGAGGAGTCAGCACGCGGGGTGGGCGGTGCAGCAGGCATGGGGCTCCCCGCTGCAGGCCCGCTCCCACACACTCCGGGGTTCCCTCCCCAGCCCTCTCACCACCACCTGGCTCGTGAGCCTTCCCCAGCTGGGGTGCAAGACTGGGGACAGGAACTATATCTGCACATGGCTGCCCCCCTCCAGTGCCCATGGCACCTGAGCTGGAGTAGGTGGCTGGGAAAGATGGGTGAAATGAACAAAGGACGCAGGGCTTGGTGGCCCCATGGCCACAGGCTGTGCGGCATGTGGCTCTTTACCTGTGAGGGACCCCACCCTCAGCCGCCGAGAAGGAGTGGAGCAAACACAGGGGCTGGGGCTGAGGTCTGAGGCCAAGACGCGCACACCTAACACTGCCTCCCTTAACTCTTGTCAAAGAGACACGTTCACAGTCAAAACTAAGGGAGGCTAAAGGATAGAACCAAGAACAGCAGACCCTCAGCCCTTTCTCTCTCACCAAAACCGACATTTTCGACAAGTTTCAACATGCTTCTTAGCAGTTCCTTCTGGAATTTACCTCGAAGTCATGGGCTTCCACTGTTACTTCTTGATTTGTCCATTTTGGATGTTATCGACCGACCGACTTTTCTAGCCACACCCGCAAGCCCCTCTCAACAGAGCTCCGACACCATCCGTGGGGCTGGGTCTCCGGTCAGTGCGTATAACTATGGCCCAGCAGGTACCGTCCGGCCCATCCAAGGGTGACACAGCTCACTTTTCACCTGCATGTTTACTCGCTGAGCATACCCCTCGCTTTCCATGCCCTTCCCGGGTTCTGTCCGTGGGCAGCTCCAGACACCTCCCGCCTTCTGGGCTGTGGCCCTAGGTTTCGGCCTCAGCGGACCCCACACCAGGCCTTGCCCTCTGTGCCCCACACCTTCTCGAGTTTGTTCAGCCACAGAGACCACATCATCACCTGTGGCCTGGTGGCCCTCACACAGCAGTGGCAGCAGGGGGAGCGTACAGTGCTTGTGCCTTGGCGGGGGACACAGGGCTCTGGCAGATCCATAAGGAGGAAGGGACAGGGGTCCAGTACAGCCACGGGCACTTTCTAGACCCTGTCTGCTGACCCACGACCTCACAGGGGGATGCATTTCAGAGTCCGACAGGTGCCGAGGAAATACATACGTGGCATTAAACAATCACGCCTGGCAGCCCATAACAAGACCATGACAAGAGGCACAAGGACACTGGCAGAGGCATGGGGGGCTCTGTGGGGGGCGCTTTACCTTGGACATCTGGCTGAAGTCGGCAAAGCCCTCAGCACTATTGAAGGACCCACTTCCGAAGGGATCTAAGGTTCCAAAGGGACCTGCAAGCAACACCAACAGAGGAGAGTTACAGGGCGTTCGCCGAACACGCCGCCTGGGGTCAAGGGAAAGCGTCACCTCTCAGGACATCCATGGAGGTCATGGTTGTTCGCCAGGGTTGGGAATCTGGGTGCAGGCCCTCAACAAAGCCCCCTGCCCCCGCCCACTCCGACTTGCGGTCGGTGCCGCTCAGCCAGACAGTTTGTGGCCACAACAGCTGGCTCAGGGAGAGCCAGAGGGACTCTGTGCTGCAAGCCAGCAATGTTCACAGTCACCAAAGGAGTGACAGGGACCCTGAAGAAGCAGAGCCTACTGTCCACTGAATCAGGAGGGGAGGTTGAGAGGGAGGCAACCTGCCACCCACAGGATTTATGCGGGGAGGTCATCTGCAGGTGGAGCTTTCTCCTTTGGTGGGTGGGGCGATCTGCCAGGAGTAACCCATGAGCTCATCCGTGAAATTGAGCTCTGTAACTAAAGCGCAAGATGCTCGGTGAGACGGCAGTACCAAGTGGGGCCCGTTCCCAAAAGCAAGGAGGAGTCCGCAAACACTCCTCTCCCTTAAAGGCTCGAGAGCTCACCTAAGAGCTTTATAATGTGAGCGAAGTTTCCCTCAAACACAGCGGCCACAGCACAGGCCTTAGAACCCTGGATTCTTTCAGGAAAAAATATCCAAAGGTATAAACTGAAGATTCATTAGGAGGAATGAGCAAACAGTAACTAACACACTGGTGTTTGTACCGACTTAATCCCTACTGCTGCCACGCTTCCTTTCCAGAATGATGCCAGCTTTTGCTTGGGAAGACGAGCAGCCAGCGGGGACTGGCTCTGGCTGCATGGCCTCAGGTGAGATCTGGGTGCCGCTTCCTAATGACATCAACACTGAGAACACACCAGCCTTGGAAGTGAGTGGGCCCTCCCCTCCCACTGCCTGAGGGAGAGTGAGAAAGGAAATAAGCCATCAAGCTCACCTGATCCTTTTGAGGAGACACTGGAGGATGAGAAAGGGTCACTGGATTCAAAGGGGTCAAGCTGAGTGAAAGAAGAAAGGAGAGAGTGAAAAGCAGTTTCTTTGTCTACCATCCATTCATTCAACCACAAACCTGACATTTACACACACCGTATGTGCCACCCAGGCATGGTGGGGAGGATGAGACGATTTAAACGACAGCAAAATCCCAACAGACCAACCCCTTCTGCAGGTAACACCTATCAACATTCTGGATACCCAACTCCAAAAAAGCAACCACCTGAAGACTCAGGAAGTGAACCAAAGTGGGAAGACTTTGGGAGAGAACAGAAAGTTGGCAGAAAAACCGGTACAAGGTTGAGCTTTCCATTTTGACAGCTGTAGTCTGAGAGTATTGGGAGGTTACAACTCCAGTAGAGAACTCATTGTCTCTCTGGACTGCAGCTCAGAGGAGGAAGCCCCAGGACAACCACAGGCATGAGAAAGGGATGTGGGATCTGGAAAGGAGAGGCATGGGAGCCCCAAATTCCACGATACGCTCTGCCCAAGTCTCAGGCTGACCCCTGCACTGGGTGTGGGCGGGCTCCCTCAGAGCAGCCTACAGCTAGGTGACAGAGAGAGGGAGTCCACAGTGCGAGTCTCACTAAGTCAGCTTTCTGCTGAAACAAAACCATCCACACTCTCTGGAGGAATGCAGCAGAACCCAGTCTCCACAACAGAGCACTCACGGCACACAGAATACATTTCTACGTTATTCAACACACAGAGAACCAGAAAACTGTGGTTCTCAAGGGAAAAGACAACCAGTGGAGTCAATCTCCAGATGACCCACACACTGGGAATTCTCAGATGAGGATGACTTTAAAGCAGCACTAACTGTTCTTACAGAGATAAAGGCAAACACACTTAAGATGAATGAAAAGACAATGATTATCACTAGAGAAAAAAAGGGAACTTTTATAATAAAAGACACAGTCTGCCCTGACCTGGGTTCACGGACTGCTGGCTGTGACACCCCGCTTCATGGGATGAGCCTCCCTCCACAGGGACCAGCAGAAACGGTCACCTCGCTCTCCAGTAAAGAGGCTCAGCCTGCAAGCCAGCTCCTGGAGAATTGCCCAGCCTCGCACAGCCCCACTCGTCAGGCTTAGCGAGCACAGTCCAAGTGATGGGGGCCCTGGCCCGGTCCACAGAGCTGGGGATGGGAAGGGCTGCCTTCACCCATGCAGGGGGCGCACATGGGTAGCACAGGGAAGACGGCCTTCCTGGGGTCACTCACCTTTGAAGGTAAGGAAGGGTTTTTCGTGAATGGGTCTGAGGTAAATGGGTCATTCTTTGTCTGTTTCTTAAAGAAGTCGTCAGGGGCAGAGCTACGGAATGGGTCGCTTTCTTTGAAAGGATCCCCTCCGAAAGGATCTAGAAGGTGTTTTGGAAAGAGAAGGAAAAAACACCCATGAAGAAACATTATGTTTAGTGAAAGAACCCAAATATAAAAGAACACCCAATTGACTGGTGCCATTTACATAAAATTCTAGAAAAGGTAAAAATAGCGACAGAAAGCAGGTCAGCGGTTGCCAGAGACCTGGGGGTAGTGGGGAGCACCAGGGGACTTTTCGAGATAATGGAAATGTTCTCTCACATATCTGTCAAAACTCATCCAACTGTACGCTCAAAATTGGTGAGTTCTGTTGTGTATAAATTATACCTTTCAATCACACTGATTTTAAAAATAATATAAACAAACAATGTGGGTAAATCCACAAAGAAAGCAAGCAAAGTGGTGGCTGCCAGGGGCTGGGGAGGGGGAAGGGGGAGATTGCCCATGGAGACGGGGCTCCTTTTGGGGTGAGGAAAACGTTCTGGAGCCAACAGAGCTGCTGGCTGCACAACACTGAATGGGCTAAAGGCCACTGAAATGTGCACTTTAAAATGGTTAACTTGTGTTATGTGAAGTTTGTTAATTGTGTTGTGTGAATTTCACCTCCATAAAAAAAAAATAGAAGGGGAAAAACAGATAGACAGCACGACCCCAACACCATACCCAGAGGGCGGCCATTCCCCTCGAGTTCTGGGTGCGGGCCTGGGGACGGGATGAGGGGGGAGCCATCACCATCAGGACGGAACAGGTGCTAGGCTTCTGCACAGTGCGATGGCTGTCCCTCCCAGCCTCCTCCACCCTGCCCCTGGTGCGCGTGAGCAGAAGTGCCAGTGCCTGCAGGGGGCACACAGGACCCCTGATGCTGCCACAGGTGACGCGGGTGGGCACAGGTGACTGAGGAGGGCTGGTGGAGGCTCCTTCAGAAACTGATCTGGCAGGGGAGGCTGGAAGGTGTTTTTCCATTTCCCTCAACCTGAACTAGGCATGGAAATATTCTGAGAGCTAGTCCACAAAACTTTTCTTTTTAACAAAGGCCTTTTTTCTTTCTTCTTCTTCTTCTTTT